ACATACTCTATTTGTGTCGCTCGGGTTCAGAACAAAATTAATATCCAAGCATTTCCATTTCCTTATCATAAAACACATTCCTCATCCACATACGACACCAAATTCATTCCATTGTGTCTGATATTTCAGTAATCATTTTCACATCTGCACATGAGACATTTTCTTATTCTTATGACAGTACAATAAATTTCATTTAAAATTCAATCGATTTGCTGTTGATTTTTATCGTACGGCTCACATGAATAATTTATTTTCCTATCAGATTTCAATATATTACTTGCTTTTTCTGCCATCAGTTCCGTTGAATTCAGGCTATGGTACGCCATTAAATTTAAAGGAATTTTAAAATATCTTGAAGAAAAATTCCAATTTTATCAGATTTATCACAAAAAAATGATGCTCACGTGACGAGTGGACAAGTGGACGATGCTTCTCTCGAAAAAAGTTTTGGATAGACGTAACTGATTTTTTAATCTAATCTCGATGTCACATTATGTAGAATTTATCAATATCTGGCTTTTAAAAAAATCATTCAGCTTACCTGATTCTTTTAAATCTTTGAATATTTTGTCTTCTATTCCAAACAACGTGCTCAATCTCGCCATTTCATGCCCTATAATCATTTTATCATACAGATAAATAGAAAATCTATGCTCAATACAGTAACTCACACTGAATCGACATTTTTTTAAAAATTCTTTCGCATTCTTATCAGCTCAGCTCAAGGTTGTAGCATCATAGTCAATTTATCTAATATGTGAGAGAAAAGTTATCGAAGCCTCTTTTCAATCGTATTTCACAATAATTCAAAATCAGATAGGCTATAAAGCACATCTTGATACACATTTTGTCGTTATTTCCCTGGCGTCTCGTTTTCTTTTCACGCTAGACGTAAAAAATGAGCTATAATGTATCAAATAAAAGGATTGAGAAGAAGATGATAATAATAAGAAGTTATGGTGAAGGAGCTTGAAGTGGAAAATTATATAGCACAACGAAGAAATATTTCTTATAAGGAAAAGAAACTGGGCCAATATTCGATAAGAACGTAGAATAACATTTTTGAGTTAAGTTTATCTTTGTTCTCCGTAACGACAATAGCTTCATATATTGAGAACTTTTCTTTTTCGCCTTAAGAAGAACACAAAAGACCTTTAAAATTCTATGGGGGTAATTTGATATGAACAGTCTTAAAAGGCACGCTTATATACATATATGCAAAGTCATTTTCTATTCCCTAATGGAATTTTCGATTTAAAATTGAATTGAATGCGTATTAGAGCTACTCATTGGGACAATATATTTACGTTACATAGAATCTATTTTTGATGAGGTATTTTTTTGGGATGTGCCGGAAGATGTTTGGAAACTAATTTAGATTTAAAGATTTTGTTGACAATGGAGACGATTGATAGGAAAAAAGCCATAAATTTTGAGGGTGTTTATTCAATCATTGTATAAGCTGTACTTTATTCTGGAGCGGGGAGTAAATCTTTCGGGATTTCTTTACATCCAGATACAATAGATTTATCAAGAGAAAACTCATTTGTGTTATCAATGAATGACATCGATTGAAGGGTGCTAAATCATATTTTTAATGGTGTCAAACTACTTCTCAGAAGCAAAAGTGCCTTGATAGCACAATTGTTAAGGTATAGATAACAAAAGTTGATGTTGAATTCGGACTCTCGGGTTCAAATCCCACCACCAGTCCAGTGATTTTTCAGCTTCTTAGGTGCAGCAGTTTAGGACGTAAAACTAAGGCGTATGAGATGTAGGAACGGATCAAAAATTATGTAGACAGAATAAGAAAGATACAAGAGACCTCCAAACAGTTTTTAATTCGCTGCTGGACACACAACTTCTTAGTGAAGATTATGTGCGACATACTGAGCTAGCGTAAATAATATAGATTTAAGAATTATTAATATTAAGAATAAAATTTTAGCGCTTAAAGGTTTTGTGATTGAGTAACAAATCAATAATTTTCTTTTAACACTTATTTCACTTTATTGGGTTCCACTAATTAAACCATAAGGGGGGTTTTAGAAAAATTTGTAACAAGACGTGTTAACTCGATCACGATACGAAGGGAAAGAACTTTTTACCAGAGGTCGAAGCCGACATGAGTTCGCTCCGGTTCGCTAAAAAACCGATCCGATAACCGGTAAATTTGTATAGAATGTTATGCTTCACAAGTGACAGCAGAAAAAATTCTATTCAAATTTGAATCGGTTTTTTAGCGAACCGGAGCGAACTCATGTCGGCTTCGACCTCTGCTTTTTACTTCCAATTGCTTGGTATTTCTCAAGCTCAAAAAAGATGCGAAACTTCTAATCAGAAATGATCGTTACAAATGTGTATATATTACTTAAAGATTCCTTTTGCTATCAATAATTACTTATAAATATGCATGAAATATGCATGTACATTGTAAATTTAATATAGCACTAAAGAAATTACTATTTTAATTTAAACTCTTGAAATCAACTGTTGATTTTATATAATTCTGTCGTTCGCTTAACGACAAGGTTTAGTAACACTGTTGCACCTTCCTTTAACAATCGAAACATTCCTAAAATTGTTCACTTATAACGGCCCCATTTGGATATGACCTCGGAAAAAAACGTTTTCTTAATTCAGCTTCTAAGAAGTGTCTCTAAAATGATACAAGAAAATCAAAACAGAATTCTTTGTGTATAAACATCCAAAATTTAACAAAATTGTTTATTTTTCATGGAAACAAAAAAGTTTGTAAGCTAAGATGCTTATAATCAGTAGAATTTTGTTAAAAACATTCGAAAAATGTTTAGTAAACTGATAAGACATCTTCTCACTTAACAATCTAATTTAAATAAATAACTTCTAAAAGTTGCCATGTAATTGACATAGAAACGTTGTACAAGAATGAGTAAATTTAAAGAAGGAATTAGAAAGACTTACAAAAAGCGCACCCATCCGTAACATAAAGATTTTGAACTTTTGAATTTTATTTCTCAGAACGAAATATAATAGCATTAAGTAACAAAGAAAGGAGTTGATTGAAAGAAGAAGAAATCAAACGAGAATTTTCAATTTTCTTTTATAAATGTTCGTGATGGCAATAGTAGCAGGTAAACATTGAGTGAGTGAGAAATAACAATGTATTATTTGCCTTAAAAAAGTATTGCGTGTTTACATTTTTTTTTCTGTGGAAATATTTCGCAGTAAAAGAATTTCAATATTATTGCTGTCGTATTCTTTCATGGTTAATGACTTTTTTGTGAAATGGCAATGAAAATAAAAAAGCTTGGCAATTTCTGTAGACACTCAATTAAGATATTCTTTTTACATGTTTGAACATTAATTTGGCAATTTATGTAGATTTATGCTGAAATAAACAATAGTGCCCATGTAAAATATCAATAACTTTATTAATTTTGACAGGTCATGCAAAGTCATTAAGCCTTAATAGCTTTTAGCTAAATCAACTGTAAATTATAGACTATAACAATTATTTCTGGCTGATATATTAGATTGTAATGGATATACTTTTGAAGTTTATTGAACTCCAAAACATTTCGATATATTTTGGTCTCAGATTGATGTGGAATCTTTGAAATCAAGCCATATGCAGTGAAAGAGTTAAAACGCTTTTCATGTGTGTTTTGGATACAGAAAGAAATTTTTTATCCTTTCTTTATGAGGTCATGAACTTTATATTCCAACCTAAAGTGCGTTTTAAGTCTAAATTAAAATGCTTTTGTCAAAAGTTTGCACCTCTGTGAATAGATCAGCTTTCAATCGACTTCCGCTTGCCTCTTTAGAATCTCTAAGGATTCCAGATAATGTAGATGCTAGTGACACAATATAGAACAGTGTTGTCCAAACTGTGTGCCACTGGTGTGCCGTAGGACATCCTTAGGTGTGCTGTGGAAAAAAATTTCTAAAGTCAAAGTGTGTTGTGGTTGAAAAAAGTTTGGACAACAATGATTTAGAAGAAGGCTGCAAATAGAAGACACGTAGAATCTATTTGAACTTCAATAAGAATCAAAACGCAAGCTTTGTGTCGCTCGGGTGGGGTTTTAAACACACAAATAACATAAAAAGTGAAAACTTCTTTTTGACAGCTGCTTATTGCCTTTTAATACACTAGAGCTGTAATTCTGTATTTTTCCAGGTCATGACATAGTAAATCTTCAGTTAAGTTTTTTATAGCATAATATCTGCTCCTCTATCGATTTCTAGAAACAGGATTGATTTGCAGAGCATTGTTGATGACAACTTGATAAGTGTGTCATGGAGCAAAGTTTGAGAAACTCTGCATTAAAGTTCTGTTTAAGCATCTACCGTCGTTACTGTTGATGTGATAAAGATTGTTTAAAGACATACGGAGTCAAGCAAATAAAAGCAGCTTCGTTGGTCAGAAGTTGATATGCAATGATTAGTTTACAGGCTTCATGCCTGAATATTAACAAAATAAAAGTTTAATAAGTAGAATCACATTTTGGATCATTTAATCCTGAATTCGGATGAAGTAATTATAGCCGATCAATAAAACAGAAAGGTGAACTTGTCAGATTTTTTGTGATAAGAATAATGTCACTGATTAATCAATGAACAAAAACAAAACCTGTTCATTCATTACCAGATATTATCCTTAACACGCGAAAATCTCATTAAAGAAATTCTGGCATTTAAGAGAAATCACTTTATCATTAAGAGAGTAAGACATAGTCTTCAAGAGAGTCAACACTTCCAGCTGGAAACTCTCTTCGTCCTCATTGGAAATAGCAGAATATTTTCGTTAAACTGGAAGTCGGTCTGATTATTTTTCAAAATCGGCATTTGCGTAAAATTCCAAAGCAAGTGATATTTTCATTCATAAGCATTTCGTCGCGTTTATTTGTTAGTTGACAAATCGGTTGTGTCCAGTGAAGAAGAATATTTATTTTTTGCTCAATATACAAAAGGATATAAGTGATACAAGGAAGTGAAATAATTAAAGTATTAAGGGTGCAAAAAAAATATATAGCGAATAAGATGGCAGTTGAGTGGATACACCGCCACAATAGTTTTATACAAATGAATATATCAAAGCATTTTTCACCATTATCATCAGAACGGATTACCACGACCACACGAAAAATTGTGCATATAAATTTAACAAATCCTGTAGTGCATAAAGCACTTAAGAATGTCTCACAGACGTCAATATGGAATGACTCAGGAACATGAATAACAATATTTTTATACTCAATAATATTTCTACTTGCTGTGATTGGAAACTTATTAGTTATATTAACATTAATTCAAAGCAGACGAATGAGAACAATAACAAATGTCTTTCTCCTTAATTTGGCCATATCCGATTTATTGTTGGGAATATTTTGTATGCCATTTACATTAATCGGAATGTTATTGAGAGATTTTATTTTTGGTGAAATTATGTGCAAGCTGTTACCGTATTTACAAGGTGTGTAGAAGTCTGTTGAAGTGTATAGCTTTGCGACTGTTTTGTGATAATTTTAAATTTTGTGTGTATATAAATAAGGTCGCGTCAGGAAATCTACGTAAAGCGTGTAATTAAAGCTCAATGCCTTGAAGTGTGTTGTTGGTTGAATTATTAAACTTTTTAATTATTTAATGTAATTTTTAGGATTAATTAAAAAAATTATTTTAATTCAAAAAACTAAGTTCTGATTTAAACAACACCTCAAAATTGTGAGTTTAAAGAATGATTTAAAATCGTGAGTAAATCAGTTTTAAATTTGTCCAAAAAAAATTCTATTTTAATTTTATTATGATGACTTAACACCCCCCCCCCCCCCTCCCCTCCTCCTTGTCATAAAATTCTCAACAATATATTTTGTATTCGAATTTTTTTAAACTCAAACCTCTCTTTCGACAAAAATTTTTTTTAAAAACTTAACTAATCTTTTTAATCTTAATGGGGAATTGTGCCTGAGATTCTAAGATTTCCTTAGCGTCGCTTGTAAGCGATTAATTTCTGAGGTTTTTGAATACATCACGAAAATTAAGTGACACAAGAAGAAGATGAAAAAAAAATCACCCCACCCACTATTTAAAAGACGTCATTCATGAAGCCCTACTATTTGAAATTCATGATCCGAAAAAGTTCAATCTCGTCAAACTTTTTCAATTTTAAAATAATTGTTTATGAAAAATTTACACAATGAGTTTTTCTAGCAATTTCCTTAAACACAAGAGATGAGTGAAAAATTTCTCCACAAACAGCACGATAGAACAGCTACAAAAAAGGTTTAATATCTCAATTTTTTGGGGGAACAAACGGAAGAAAAATCCCTCAAATTGTCTCTTCAATTTTCATTCGGGAATAAAGTGAGGAAAAATTCTAAACGAAAGGAACCGGAAGAAATGGGAAAAAATATTTTTCATTATTTTTTCTCTCCATATGGTTTTCTGGCTATTGTTTGTTTTTTCCACACAGGATATATATGTGGTAAAAATGAATTCCTGTTGGAATCTAAAAGTATTGTGAACTGAACTGAATCGGAACAAGAATATAATATGTTTGAAGGTTTAAAGCTTAACGAACATTCTTTAAAAGTTTTTTAAAAATTTTTCATCCAAAATTTAATTTTATAAAAATCACAGTCAACTTTTGTTTTGAAAAATTCGTGAGAAAGGAAAGTTTTTTGCTATTTCTGAAGCAATGGCTGTTCCTACCTTGCTCAAAAACAATACAGCTCTTCTATAGAGCAGCACGGATCAAATGTAAAAAACTAGAAGTCTCTCCGATGTCTCGTTATTGAGATTTTTATTCTGATTAGAATATAGAATGTGATGAAGGGTTTTGCTAATAGCAAAAGCGGCACTGCGATCGATGATCTGTTGTACCATCCCAAGTCCCCTATGCTAGAATTCCAATGTCCTTAATAAAGCCAATAATGTCCTGATAATGCTGCTTGTTTATATCCTCATCATTCAAATAGTCCTCATCAAAATGCTTGACACGTTGTCCTCGTAATGACCTACATTTACAAAGTATATGAATGATTGTTTCTTCATTCACATTACAAAACCTGCAAATTTTACTATTAGACAAATTCAATTTAAAAAGAAAACTATTGATACTCATGTGTCCTGTCAAAGCACCAATTAAGATGCTAAGGTCTTTCCTTGGTAGTCTGAGAGCATCCGATATTTTATTCTTATTTTTAGGACCAAGAAGTCTTTTGGCTGTCATGGCTCCTTCCTCTAAATTCCAGATACGAAAATGCTGTCTCTCCATCCATTCTCGTATGTTTGACTTCAACAAGCCAAAACCATAGTATGTCGACTTGTCATAATCTTCCTTGTGTACTGCTTCTTTAGCTAATTGATCAGCTGTTTCATTACCTTCAATACCACTGTGTCCAGGTATCCATTTTAGGATGACTTCATTTTCTTGCCCCAATGCTGTTAAACAAGAAATACAATCAAGAACTGTTAAAGACTTCACAACACAATTGTTTAAAGCCGTCAAAGCTGATCGACAATCTGAAAGAAAGCAAATTTTACAGCCTTTCAAATCCATATCCAAACAGTAATTAGCACCCTCACAAATAGCTTGAACTTCTGCCTGAAAGACAGAAGCATGATCTTGCAGTTTGTAGGATGAATTCAAACTCAGCTCTTTGCTGAACAGACCGATGCCAACACCACTTTCTGACTTTGATGCATCAGTGTATACAGACATACAATTACTTTCCACCAAATCACAAGATTCAGCAGCATCATCTTCTGATACAACTACCTTAAAAGGTTTGTCAAAAACGTATTTTGACACTATATGATCCGATTCTAAGATAAATAAACTTACACTCCTTAGAAATCGATTTAATTCCATATGACCTGTAGAAATCCAGTCATTAACCCATAATTTATTAACCTTCAATTTGGATGCACTTGTTTGAGCTGCAGCTTCGATTCTCACTCGAAGTGGAGGAAGCTCAAGAAATCTATCCAAAGCCAGTTTTGGAGTAGTTTTCCAAGCACCGCAAATTGACAATTCTGCTATTCTTTGCAGTTTCTCAATTCTCTGAGAGGCAAAAACTTTTTTCATTTTATGCCACCAAACAACACATCCATACATAATTCTTGGTAGAATGACTTGCTCATACAGCCAATACATCATATTGGGTTTCAATCCCCAGTTTTTACCAACAATTGATCTACAAGCCCAAAAGGACTTAGTCACCTTACTTACAACGAAATCTACATGCAAATTCCAGTTTAATTTGCTGTCTAAGTAGACACCAAGATACTTTGCTTCATAACTGAATTCTATCCTTTGACCATACATAACTGGAGGACGTAGCTCACCTAATTTATACTTCGTACTGAAAGGAATTACAATTGTTTTAGCTGGATTTACTGATAAACCAACTTTATCACAAAAACCTTCCACAATGTTTAAAGACCTTTGAAAAACATCTAACACTGTGTTAGTAAATTTACCTTTTACTAAAATAAAAATATCATCAGCATAACCTTGGGCAAAGATGCCCCCTGAGCCATTTAGATCTACCAATAAATCATCAATAACCAATGACCACAACAGGCAAGACAAGTTGCCGCCCTGTGGTGTACCACGTTTCACTATGATGAACACAACTTCACCGTTCAATGATGCGTGAACGATTCTCGATCTAAGCATGTTGCTGATCCACTGTATCATTCTTTGTGGAACTCCTCTTCGATGTAAGGCATTTGTGATAACATCGAAACCAGTGTTGTCGAAAGCACCTTCAATATCAATAAGGCCTCCCACCATAAAATCTTTGTCGAAGAAACCCTTTTCGATTCTAGAAACAATACTATGTAAGGCAGCATCTGTCGATTTACCAGGTTGATAAGCAAACTGATACTTAGACAAAGGCCTACTTGACAAAATTTCATCCCTTATATATCTATCAACTAATTTTTCCAAAACCTTTAATAGGAAGGACATCAGACTGATAGGTCTAAATGACTTAGCTTCAGCGTAAGTGTCTTTACCTGGTTTTGGAATAAAAACAACTTTAACACTTCTCCATGATTTTGGAATGTACCCTGTATCCAAACTGTACCTAAATAAACTGAGTAGATAAGGCATCAACTGACCTAAGCCTCTTTGTAAGAGTACAGGAAGGATACCATCCTCTCCTGCCGACTTAAAAGGCTTCAGAGAATTGACTGCCCAAGTAACTTCTGATTAACTTGCTTGCTTGTTTGCTTACAGAAAGCGTATTTTGCGATTTTCTCAGCAATGCCACAACCAATTTGAAATCTGTTTTTGTAAATGATATAAATTTCAGGCACAAACTTTTCTTTCAGGACATTTAATAACCAATTTTGCTTCGTTTTCTCACAAAATGCGAAAAACTGAATTTTCAATCTGAACAAAACCAATAGATTCACACGTGAAAACGGTGTGAATAAAAAAAATTCTGGAGGCACATAGCACACCACTGTAGTGATGGTGAAAACTTCAACTGTGTCGAAACCACGTAAAATATTTTTTAAAGACATTTTAAACAATTCTAGCATTAGCAAGCTCACATCATGGCACATCATTTAATTAAATGACAAACTCCAAAAAGATTGATACCACTAAAATAAATTAATGTTAAAATTGTCAAACTTTAAATATTTTTCAAATTATTTACCTTAAGAAAAATTGAATGCCGGCGCAGTCAAAACTCTCAGAATCTTTAAAAATAAACGTCTGTTTTTGCAAAATCACATTAAAAAATATGCATGGAAATTTTTCTTCCCTTTTTTTGCATGTGTGACTTTGTGACTCAATAATGAGTAGCTTTAATATTTTGAGAATGTCAATGTTACACCATAATAAATGTATTAAAATATGAAAATAATACTATTGCTAGATAATCAAATTTAACAGTGATTTCATACATGATGAAAATACTACATTTTAATATAAATTTTTCAAAAACATAAAACATCAGATTTATAGCGGAAACCGCAATCACATGCACAAGTGGTGGTTGAAAATTGACGAGTATCTTACATCGGTTAGAATTTTTGGATTTTCCATTTCTACATTCACAGAAATATATTTTTTAATACAAATTGTTACAAAATTTCAATCACTTTTATTCACATAAAATGCCAAACTTCAATTGCGAACATTTTCTGAGTGAATTGCAAGTACATTAAGTTATTTCATAACTTATAAAGTTCGGGGTTTTTTCAAGAATTCTGTAGTTCCGTATGTGGTTTCTAAGGCAGCTCTTGTTAAGGCTGAGCATTTATTTTTCTTAAAAATCTGGAACATTTTAGAAAACACTAGGATAAATTTCAGTTTTCTAATAAAAGAAGGAATTGCTGGTTTTTCGATGTATCCATAGTTAAAAACTAGTTTAATAAAGCCTTAAAGATGATAAAAAAGTGAGAAGAATAATTTAGATTCGTCATTAAAATTTTCAATTCTGAGCTAAAAACCAA